TTGATTAAAGGGTCACCTGTTGCATTTTTACTTTTTGCTATGATTTATACAGGAAGCAAAAGGTAAACAAATATTTTTGTGATTTAATATATATATATATATATATATATGTATGTATATTCATTTTGTTCGTTCTTTAAATTTGGAATTTTTATATTATTTTCCAGTTTACAATTTCTTGCAATTCCTATATATACCATATTCAAGAATTTAACGATCATTTTTATTGCCTACGGTGAAGTATTATGGTTTGGGGGCTCAGTGACAAGATTAATGATGACAAGTTTTCTATTGATGGTATAATAATTTATATATATTTATTTATTTATTCTTTAATTTTAAATATATCTAATATTAATATAATTATATTGATTACTACAAATAGGTATTTTCTTCAATAATAGCAGCTTCATCCGATTCAGTCAATACAGTAAAATTAAATACATTTTCTTCAATTGATTTTGGTTATATATGGATGGCTTTAAATTGTATTTCTTCGGCTGCATTTATTTTATTTATGAGGAAAAGAATTAAATCAACCAATTTTAAGGATTATGACACTGTATATTATAACAACACATTATCAATTCCATTATTGGTTTTCATGAGTTTAATTATAGAAGATTGGTCTTACACTAATTTAGAAAAAAATTTGTAAGAACTTTAACAAATATATATGTATATATAAATATATCATTTATTATATTATGATTCACTAATTAACTAAATAATTATTATTAATTAGTCCGATTGAGGTTCGACATACATTAATAATATCAATTCTATTCTCTGGAATATCAGCATTTACAATTTCTTATGCTTCTGCATGGTGTATTAGAGTTACCTCAAGTACCACTTACAGTATGGTTGGTGCATTAAACAAATTACCAATGGCTGCAAGTGGAATGATTTTTTTTGGTGATCCTACAACCTTTGGAAGTGTATCTGCCGTTCTTGTTGGTAAATAAACAAAAATTGGTCTTTCTTTTTCTTGTTGTTGTCTCTCTTTGAAAATGGCTTATTTTAATATTGTTAATAAAATTTTTTTTCAAAAAATTAGGATTTTTTTCTGGAGTTTTGTATTCAATAGCAAAAAAAGAACAACAAAGAGTTGTTATTGTTGACACTAAAATCATTAATGATAATACAATAACTAAATCTCATCAAAATACAAATGATCCAATAATAGATGAAAAATATATTGATCACACAGAAAATTCAACAGCTATAACAATAGAAGATGACAAAAGCAATGAAATCAATTAGATTATTATTAAACTTATTATTATTATTTATTAGATTTGCCATATATAAAAAAATATATAGCGAACCAGCTTGACTCAAGAACACTAATTATTATCATTATCATTAATGTGTAAAATATAATTATCAAAAATTTTTTAATATTTAACACTATTATTGTATTTTTCTGCAAAGTCTTTTAGTTATTATATATTTTAATAAATTATAATCAATTTTCTAAGAAATGATCTTGGATGAATTTGAGTTTGTCATGCATTAAGAACTGAAAAATCACCCATACTTGATTGACATCAATAAGTAATTTTTACAATAATATAGCCTTTACTAATAATGACATCAACATTATCAACAACAACAAATTATTCAAAAGATAGCTCCAAAGGTAGTTTTTCCAAATAATAACAAAAACTTAAAATATTATGATAAGAGCAGGATCCATCCATACTTGAATTGCTAATACCAATAAAACACTCCTTTGCTTTTTTTATAATGATCAGTTTTGACAACGACAATTACTCTTTAATTGCTGCCACTGGAATGAAGATTTTTTTCATAATTTTTGGTTGGAGTAAAGTTGTCAAATATATATGTATCTTTTAATTCAATTAGAGGCATAATGTAACATCTTCACCTTTTGATACTCTCTCACTCATCATGCATGCTTTAACATCTTTGATCAAAAAATTGCATATTCAAATGTTTAATAGCGATTATGAAATGCACAATACCAATCGTTTATCATCTTGATAGGAACCCTATAATTACCAGCAAGTTCTGCTCCGCATTTTGATTTCCATTATCAATACAAATAAAAAATAATATCTCTGATTAGTTATTAACATGTCTTCAGAGCCAAAGCTAGTACACTCGCGTTTTGTCCTCTTGGACTCTGCCAAAAATAAATTGTTTTCCAATAATGATATTTCGATTTTTCAACTTTGTGTAATAGTTATTAAAAAAATGGTGGTTATTGTCATGCTATTTGCTAATACTAAAATAACAATTCAGAAAAAATACTTGATAAATCTACATCCATTTTAATTTCTTAGTTCTATAAATTATGAAAAGGAGGGTGAAGAAACTGAGAAGATCGTTAAGGAGGAAGCTGGTGTGGAGGTTGAAGAAGCTAGTGGTAGAATTGAGATAGAGGTCGGGGAGGAAGCTGGTATGGAGGTTGGCAAAGAAGCTGGTGGTGGAATCGAGACAGAGGTCGAGGAGGAAGCTGATGTAAAGGTCGACGGATGAGGTAATTTTTTTATAAGTATTTTTGTTTTTTTAAAAATTCAAATTGGCAATAATATTAATAATGTGCTTGAGCTGTCTTTAGTGTCTGAGTTTGAAGCAACATAGGCTTATCAATATTGGTACTTTGAACGACCTTTTCATAGCACATAAGACAGGTTTTGGTATATATTTTTCAAGTTTTAATTTTGTATTCTTCAAAGAATGCTGAAATTCTTTTATTGTTGAATCACGATAAATCGATCGCTAGAGTTTGGTGATGATAAAGTTGTTCTTTAAATAATGAAATTGTTATTAGTTATTAATCTCATTATAACTGGATTTATATGTTTTTGTACCTTGTTGCATACTTCTTCCTTCTTCGGCTGCAGTTATCACTCGTTAAAAAAATTAAAGGCTCGCTTTTCGCTTTTCAATTTACATCCTTATCACTTAATCCTGTTAGAAAAACTTGAAGGAAATCAAAAAAATGTTGTACGAAAAAATTTTGTTACATGTCGTTCAGTTCTCCGCAAAGAAAAACAAGTTTTTAAACGAAAACGTAACAGCGAGTTTCGTGAAATACAGATAGTATTATATAATTTTTTTGGTGTCATATATTATAAAATCACATGGCTCAATCGCTTGCGTATATATTTGTTCGGAGCATCAAAATTAACACTATCTTAGCATCCCACCATGTATTCATGATCAATGATACAATCTTCAATAAAAATAGACTATTCCATGGCATTGATTGAGGAGGCTAATGAATCACAACCAAAAACATACAAATATACCGCTACATCCACTCGTGAACCAAAAAAACGGTGCATTGGTTTTGCTTTTCATGGTATTCGAATTCGAGGGTCGAGTTGAAATGGAGTTCTATGTATAATTTGGCTTTACATGTTAAATTCAAATACGAGGTATCTATATATTTGTTTGGAGCATCAACATTAGCCAGCCATATTATCAATATTTTTGTTTTATTCATTCATTGTATTAGCAAAAAACCTATTTATTTAAAAAAATTACATATACAAAAGGAATGTTCACGAATTTAATAAATTTAATAAAAGATCCTTTGCAAATAAGAACCCTCATGTGATCAAAAGAATCAACTACTCAGGTTTTTTTTGTTAACTAAAAAAAAAGATCTTTTTGTCCTGATTAAAGGTCAATGGGTCAATTGGATTCCCTCCAAATATATCGCTAAGCTTCATGCAAACATCAAAAGTTGCAAAGATTAATCAATTAATTTTATTTATTTTCTCCGAAAGGAAAATGTTTCCTCTCTCAAATGGTCAAAATCAAATAAAAAATTTTTTTTGGTTCAACACTAACAATTAAAAAAAATCTGTACATATTGTTTGT